AGCCCTAGAACACCAGAGATCAGGGCTTTAATATTTTGGGAATGATCCTGATTAGTGTCCATTGACATAAAGTAAATCTTTTCTAAATACTGGGTATTGCTTTAGTGCTTCTGCCTACCATTGGAATGTTACTCATGAGAGAAAAATTCCACTGATATGTTCATATGTACCATGTTAGCATAGAGTTTTTTTAAAAATCTGTATCATAAAATAATTGCATTGTTGTAAGTTGTATCTATTGTATTATGTTGTCCTTCATATTCCAATGTGAGATGATATTTGATACAAATTATTTATAAAAGATTATGATTCAACATGTATTCGAGTGGCAGGGTATTTGCCTAGCATGCCCAATGCCCTTGTCAACTCCTAGCTTTGCAAACAAAAAACTGAATGTATATATGACTATAAAATTAGCAAAACATACGATACTTGAGTGAAAAAATATATGGATGATTGAACTGTTATTACTAAATCATGGGCAAATTACTACCAAAATGTCAGAATCTTTTTATTGTGCTTTCTCTTCCATAGATTAGTAAAAGCTAAAATGCAAATGAAATTTAACGTAAATTTTAATGTATATGCAATAAAATATCCAAGAATAACTAGACCCACAAAATAACAATTTGCTAAAAATTCCTATGAAAGAAAACAAAATTATTCCTTGAGATAGTTAACTTTAAAGATCAATCTGACAGAGCTAAGGGATATAGCTGATAAAACATTATGATAAACCATCCATGAGGATGGTTCTAGAAGAGATTAGCATTTGAGTTGGTAACCTAAGAAGACTGATCCTCACAAGTGCAGATGGGCATCTTGCAATTTCATGAAGTTTCAAATACAAGCAAAAAGACAGAAAAGAGTTTACCTTAGACTATTTGAACTGTGACTCAATTTTCCCTGTCTTCAGGTGTTAGCACTTCTGGTCCTTGAGTTTGGGGATTTAGATTTGGATTTACATCAGTCCTATCTCACACAATCTCTACTTTTGGGATTTTGTGCAAACTGAGTTACCCAAATTTGTTGATTCCTTGGTTTGTAGAAGGAAGATGTAGGACTCTGTGTCCTCCATGTGAACCAACTCCCATTGCAAATCTCTCATTATTATTCATATACATTCAACTATCTTTTTTTAAGAACTCACTAGTCTATTATCTTTACTCATTCTTAAAGAACATAAGACTGACTCCTATATTTGATAAAAATATGTAATCATAAAGCCTTGTTTTGAGTCTCCAAGCTAGCATAAGTACTATTTCCTCTATAATCCACCTGGAGTCCTAACAGAAGAAATCAGAAACCTAGAAAAGACTTAGAGGACACTAACAGCTCATTGTGTTTGGAATTGTTACCACAAGAGGATCTACTTTTTGATGTGGGCAGAGGACTGCAAGGATGCTTGTGAATGTATGAAATTGAGAAGAACTTGGAAATCTGTTTGTGCTCCTCCCCTCCAATCTTACATAAGAGCAACCCTTATCAGAATTCAGAGTTGTCAGGACTAAAGAATTACATTTTATCCCATTCTGAACATCTGAAGACTGAAGAAAAATTCATTACTCTGAAGGATGAGATTAGCAAAAGCAAAGGAAAATACCAGGGATAACAACTCAAATATCTATATGAACCAAGTAATTAATATCAGTTAAGAAAATGTGGCTATAAGGGAAGAATGTGAGCTGAGAGGACAGTGGTGAATTTAAGCCTACATGTTCTTTCTAGAAAGACAGTAGCCCTTAAGCACTAACATATGGCCACCGTGTTGCGAGCCTAGCTGTGCCAAATAATCAGGTATTTCAACAGAAGCCAGAAATATGATTCTTATTAGAAATTTACCAGTTTTTAAGTGTTGCTTTAGATTTAACTCAATGCAAACCATTAAGACACATCTGTGATCATTCATGGTGCATCTTAACCATCTACAGTACATACTCAACACAACAGACTGAGAGATTTTCTTAACACACAAGTCAGATTGCTGAAAATTCTCCAATGTCTCCCCAGTTTACAGAGGAAAATCAGCAAATACAAGAGCTCTCTCTTTCCTAGATTTCCAGACTTCTCTCCCTAAGTCAACATGCTTTTTAATTCAATTCCTAACTTCCGAAGTGGGCTGATACTATATCAGACACTCATAGAGCTCCTATTACAGGCTTTCTGTCCTAATTTCTCCTACTTCCACCTCTTTATCTTCTTTTCCTTTTGTTTTATATCTGACTTTCTGCAGTGACAGTTATTTGTTCTTTAGTATTGCTTCTAAAATGTATGGTGTATGAAACATGGACGTTTGTTTTCTTCACAGCTGGGCTTAGCATGATGTGTGGCATGTACCAGGCACGTCGGGTGTTAAGTGGTTTTTTTTTCCACTCAGTTCCGAGTGCATCCTTCTAAATTCCATTCCATGAGGCCTACACTTCCGTTTCCATTGCGCTCTAGGTTTCTGTGAGGGTTCATCAATTGAGGTTATTAGACATATTGAGAGACAGAAAGTTGAGAACAGAGTTGATTTTTCCATTTTTCCCTTTGTTCTGGCAGCAGCGATTGACTTTGGTTTCTACATTTTTCCCCTCGATTTTACAAGTGGCTTGATACATAGCTGTCGGAAGTGCCAACACCTGCCAAGCGGCAGCCCCTTGGTAAGGGTGGGAGTTCCTCCTGTAGAAATTCTGACCGTGGGAAGTTTTCATCTCTGCCAACCACGGCAGCACGCTTTCTCAAGCCTCAGTCTCCATCCACAATCACCACATTCACAGGCTCATTCTGCTTTCTATTGTTTTTCTTTCTTTCTTTCTTTTTTTTTTTTTTTTTTTTTTTTAGCAATGGGTTCAAGCACAGGACCTTGTGCTTGTCAGACAGGTGCTTAAGCTACTGAGCTAAATCCCTGGCCCTCATTCTGCTTCCTAACATTGGAAGTCTCTTCTTTTCATCTCCCAGGCACACAGTAGTGCCTCCATCCGTAGTAATCATCTCCACATTGTCACATTTTTGTTCCCTTATCACAGTCTCACTCCTTCATTACGTACTTTATCAATCCCTTTACAAAATACTCTCTTAATAGCTGATTTCTGTGTTCCCTACTCAAAATTGAGTGATATGGTAGGTATTTAATAAATATTTAACACATTTATGAATAAATGAATGTGGCCAGCAGACATTCCATTTGTAAGATATACTCCAGAGTGCCTACTCACAGAGTTCCTGTGACAATGAATCATCTTTCCACAAATGCAACCATGGTATATTTTCTCTTTGAGCCATTTGAATGTCTTGGTCAATTGCTGTGTGTTCCATCTGCCTGCACTGTCTCTCCAGGGCCAGCTTAGGACCATTAGAGACTTTATATATGGATATTATGGTGTCCTGTATGGGCAACTTGAAATAAAATATTTATTTTATTTCAAGATACAGATATTTGTAAGATACAGATATTTGTAACAACTGTAAGACTGTCAAAGTTTTATTTTCTGTTATCAACCTCTTTAGTCTACTCTAAAATATTTTTTAAAGATACAATTCATCAAGAAAAACATCTTCCTCCTTAATTTTTATGTTTCTGAAATCCTGGTATCCTAACCACATGTCTCATCAGTTGTATGAATCATAATTTTAACATTTGAAAAATAATCATAAATAAAATGCTGACATACATAAACTTATGAAATGATTCATGCAGACAGTAAACTCTGTCTTCATTCTTTTCAGTCTGTAAAGGTTCAAACTCATCTTTGATCAGTTCTTCCATAATTTTCTGAGCTTCCACATTTATCAAATGTCACTCATAAGCTATTGTCCTGGGGCTAGCAAGCTAGCTAAGTGGTAGAGCACTGCCTAGGATATGTGAATCTCTGTTTTATTCAATTTCTAGAAGCTCAAGCATGTATTTGCTGCTGCCCATGATATATACTGTATTGGTGTTGAATCATCTTGCCTCATAAACTATTATGACTTAGAATTACTTAACTATTTTTTGTGATGAGAGAACCTAATATTATCTGAATGCCCCATAGTTGTATTACAAAACGATTATGTCTGAACATATTTAAGACACACTGTCTTACATGTAAATAGCATTATTAATTTGCCAGGTATAAAATGAGTGTTTTTAAATTAAACTTATATCTTCAATTAAAACCTATGTTATGGTGTACAATCCTTCATAGATGATCTAGGTTAACTGTTTCCAAATTGTTTAATTATGAACAACATTTCAGTCCCAGTGTTAAAAGTTCTACTTTGAATTTCTCTTAATTGACATTACAAATGATAACATGTTGCAATTAGGTAAATTCTTTAGCGAACTTGTTAAAATTTTAGCATCATTTTATCAACTCCACGACAAAATCCAGAATCCAATTCTCACCTTGTCTTTCCAGGCTCATTTTCTTCCCTAGACTTAGTTTTCGTGAATGTTTTCCAGGATGACGGTCTAGGCACATGTGCTCATCAGTTGTTACTTTTACAAATACTGAGAAAAAAAGTCTTAAATAGGAAAGATTTATTTTGACTCAGAGTTCCAGAGATTTCAGTCCATGGTTGACTAGCTCTGAAGCAGAAACTCATGGCATAATGACAGTACTGAGTAATGATGCACACTTCTTTGGATCTAAGAAACAGTGAGCAGGAAAGAGCCAAGGATGAAGGAGTCTAGGTATACATATCATCTCCAAATTCATGCCTCTATGGTCCACTCTTCAACAAGGTGCCATCTCTTGTTCCTGTTCCTTCCAATGACGCCACCACATTATGAAGGATAAATGGATCAATCCATTTGATGAACTTAGAGTCCCCATGAGCAATCACTTCCCAAAAGCATGTGAACAACTGAATCTTCAACAAAATGAGTCTTCAAGGTTAACTACTGTATCTAACTATAATGTCTGTGGGTCTTTCTGATGCTTCAACAAGCAGCTCCATAGGCTTCTTAAGTAGGCATTTCTCTGCTAAGAATGCTTTTCCCTTCCCCATTCATCTCTGACTATTTAATCCTCACTCACCTGTTAGGTCTCAAAGCCCACTGTAGTCAGAAGTCTTGGTCTGCCTATCTTGGCTAATTATACCGTGATATACCTCAGTATTTCTTCAGGTTTTTCCTTCAGAGCACTTATTATTTCATTCAGGTATGAAGCACCAACCTCCTGAAGAGACAGAAATTCTTGTGAGACCAGAGCATTTCTACTTCATTTGCTCTTTTATCCCCAGGTCCTATTAAAACATGAAGTAGGTTTTATGTCCCAGTGGTATTGACAAGGATACACATAACCTAATAGCTGTCTAAGTAATTTTCTTATATAAAGATGAAAGTTTTTATTGTTTCTTGAATTTTGAAACAATAAACAATATTAATGAGGAACAGTTTCCATTTTCCAGGTACTACTGTAAAACCTTTGAAGTCTGAAATTCAATTTATTTTCACAACACTGGGAGGCTAATAGGAAATCTGGTGAGCTCTCAATATATTTAGGTTACTCTATAGCCAGGGGTTTAAATTTGGTGAATGATTGATATTGCTTCCTTGTGACCTTGGCTAAGCCTGAAGGACACAACTTAGTTCAAAAACATAAAAATGTTTCATATAGGCAAACTGTTTTTTCTGAAAGTTGAGTTTCTGCACTGTTTATTTTGGTTGTTATTATTGGGGCTGTTTGTTTGCCTGTTCTGTGTTGCTAGGGATGGAAACCTGGGCTTCTCACTAGACAAGCAATCCTCTCTGTGCCACACAGCCACCCTTTTCCTGACATTTTAAACCAAAGGACAGTGGTCTTCATCCTCTAAGCAGTGATTATGGCCATCAGGGATTATGGGTACTAGGATAACCTAATAAGGGTGTAACATCCTAATACGAGTGTAAATAAATATCACATGCGGAGATATGTCACAGCTGGTCAAATGTGAGTCCATGGGACTAGTCACTCTCAGTTTCATTTTCAAACTGTTTCTTTTTTCCTTACAACTCTTCTCTCCTCTCAACCATAAAAGATGGTCTACTATTATGGATACGAAAGGGGGCTCCAGGATTACAATATTTAGGATCTGCCATACCCATCATCTGTGAAGAACCGCAGACCATCACATTAGTTTTATCTGAACACTTGCATGGCAAAATGCTGATGCAGCTGAGTAAGGCAAATGTGCAAGCCCCATCCACATGTCATAATTGGTCTTCACAAACATGCATGAGATAGAAAACAATCATCCCACACCCTTCCCTTAGGTAGCTCTCTTGAGTTTCTTTCATTGGGAAAAAAACTGCTATTTTTATATTAACTAACCATAAATAAAGGCTTTGTGAAGTCCTCACAAGTAATAATCACTTTCCTGAGTCTCTGGTTCAAAAACATCTTTACCAAGACTATCCCCTTGGGAATTAAAGGTAGATTAATTACTATAGAGTGACTTACTTCTATATTAAGAAGTGAAATGAAAGTTATAAATGATTTTATGATATTGAAATATTTTTGGTAAGAATATGACCATCAAACTAAAAAGGTACACACATGTTCCTCAAATAAGATCATGCTGGAGTCCACTGTGCTTGTGGACATATACAAGTCATTTTATATTTGAGGAATTCATGAGCTATGTTAGTAAGTGAAAGCAATGTGGTTTGGGGTTACATGTGAAGAAAAAAGAGTCTTCCAGCTTAATTTTTGGAACATTTTTAAAAAGAGATTATAGAAGTAAAGGGGAAAACAGACTACAACTGATAAGACAAATGTGTTGAAGCAAGAAGTATATAGATGTCTTGGACACAGAAAATGTTTAAGATTTAAACTAAAATCGTAAGAAACTGAATGCAAATTTGTCATGCACCTGGAATTCTGGAATAAATGAAATCGAATATTAATTGTAACTAACAAGTAGGTTCAATTAACAAGTTAATTAGGGAAATAAGTAGCACATACAATGAGTAAAAACCATGCAGAGAGAGAGAGAGAGAAGAGAGAGGGGAGAGAAGGGAGGAGAAGAAAGGAGAGAAAAGGGGAGGAAAGGGGAGGCGAAGGGAGGGAAACCTGGGCAATGATAGTCATTCATCTGTGTACAGTGAGTGAGGTCTTGTATGAAGGGGCTCAAGAGAGTCATTGAGCACAATGCTGAACATAGTGAAAAATTGAGAATGACTCTCCTTGTCATAAAGAGCAAGTCAGGAAATCCTTGAAGTACAGGTATATTTGGAAAGATAATTGCATAGTACCTGATCTATCTCTCTTATACTGGGTTTGAAAATAATAATTGAGACTGGAAATTTGGAGAGGAAAATATTACACCTGTTTTCAGGTGTTTTCATTTGGTTTTCATGTTGTATTGCATATTTCATGTATTTAAAGATTGGCTTTTCAGCTGCAGCTCATAAGATCCCCTCTAGAAATGACACACTGCATATCCTTGGGGTATGCTTCCTGCCATTAAGCGCACACACAATAAATTCACAGTGTCTGTGTCCTGTCATTCATAGCTTATTTTCTAATTATAATATATATGCTCATTTTAAAATTAATTTTCCCTCTGTACAACGATCTGCTTATTTTAAAATTGATTTTCCCTCTATACAAACTTCTGAGATTTATTTTTAGATCCTTGCTTAGCTTGACTGTATTCTACTTAGCAGAAGATCATTCAATTCTTAAGAAGTTTAGCTATCTGAGATTGTATCAAAAATTTTAAAAATTGTGAGTATAAAAGATAACACAAAAATAATCCTGCTTCCAGAAAAAACTGTTTGAAGAAGATAAAATTTAATTCTAAATTTTGAAGTATCATTAGTATGCTTCACATTTTATATACAAAGAAACAAAGACCAAGATGTTACATTGGTAATAATAAGTTAACTAAGCAAGCATGTTAAATTATTAAATTTGGAGAATACGTTGTGCTTATTATGTTACTTACCCTTGCAGTGAACTAGAAAATGAATGTGGTCATTCCAGCCCTGGTTAAATTGGAAATATATTTTATACAGATGTGGCTAATATAGTTTCCTGGCAGAGGAATAATGCATACAACTTATATTTATAAATATACAAATCTGGTTTTATATTATAATGCAGTTCTGTGAAATCACATTTCCCTCCCTGTGCTTTGGTTTTCACTTTAAGGCTATATTTACCTCCTTTTATCATTTAAAGTATCTTTATTAAAACACTATTTTTTCCAGCTCTTTCAGAGTTGACCTCGTTTATGGGTAGGCAGGGGATTGAGAATTAGAATAGGAGGGAATATAAGAATAAACAGTGAGTAATCTATTTAAAACCAGAAGATTCACCCACCATAATTAGTACTACATTGATTTTTTACAAAATCCTATTTCTGCTGCCAACTGAGTTCAGTTCCTTCCTCTTCTGTTTTGGATCTTTTTTAATGCTAACTAATTTCACTTCCATTTGTTAAGATAACTGTGATACACAGCAATAAGGTTACCATTTCAGTTCTTTGGCCTCTTTCCTTAGATCAGTCCAGCCCTGGAGACAATGGAAACTTTACTTAAGAGAACTGCCCATTAAATTTTCTATCTTGTAATGTGTGTGTGAGTGTGGTTCAGTAGTAGTAGTAGTAGTGGTTGTTGTTGTTGTTGTTGTTGTTGTTTAATTAGTTGTGAAGCACACAGTCTTTTTAAAATTTCAGTGAACTACAAAAATAAAATGAATATTTTGTTTCTTTCTTTTGGATTACCAAAGAATAGCTGATATGGCTTGACCAGTACCCCTAAATATTTATATATTGAAATCTACTCCTTTCTTTGATGGTTTTGGAGGACACAACTTCAGGTGGTGATCAGGTCAGGGAGTCTGGGAAAGGACATTAGGTCCTATATAGAGAAAGCCCTGGAAAGCTCACTTGGTCTTTCTCCTTCGTAAGGGAAACAAGAAAACAACCATCTGTGAACCAGGAACCAGCCCTCACTAGACATACAGTCTGCTTGCACTGTGATGTCTGATTTCCCATCCTCCAACGCTGTAAGTAAATATTGTGGTTTATAAGTCACACAGTCTCTGGTATTCATTGTAGCTGTCAAATAGAAACAGAATGAAACTATTGCATTGGAAGAGCTGGAATTTTAATGTGAGGACAATACAAAAGTGGCATGGAAATTCACAGTCAATTTTAAAATAAAATTGCTCTTTACCAGTGTAAAAGTATTATTGAAAAGCTATGCTAGTATTAAAGGTACAGTTAGTTTTTTCTGGAGGCATCCTGTGACAGGAAGCTTGGCTGATTATTGATTCTTTAAAGTCAAGACAAAAAGTCTGGTGTGAGATCACTCCTAAAATGTATTTATGACCACTGGAGTTTTGAACAATAGATAAGTAAATTCACAGTCCAAATCAGGCATTTTCTTTTCATCTAAATGACTCAAAGTTCATTTTGTTGGGAGAGATGAGAAAGTACACTGTGAGTCTCTAGGCTCCACCTAGGATAACAACATTTACTCTCCCCTTCCCTGCCTTAAGGATTTCCACAAGGTAAACTTATACCAGAATCCATTTCTGCATTTTGGACCATCTTTTGCCAATGAAAAGTAAGATAAAAGCAAAACAGGGCAGTTAAATTCAACAACATAGCAACTCTTCTGTGCATGTACAGAAGAAAAATACATGTAGTATCTTGGACTGGTCACGGGAGGATTTGGAGAACCAGGAAGAATTGGATATTTCCTGTATGTCAAGAACCATGTCAAGCACTTTGTACATATTTTTACCTTTTGTTCTTCTAACAGCAGTATGAAGTACCCAGTAATACTTCTTGTATATAATAATAAAACTCTGGCTAAATTCAATTATGTGTCATGTTTAGAACTGCAGGAATTTCTGAATCTTGTTGATATACAACATTTAAATCTAAAAACAAGCAAAGAGCACAATATCTAGTCAGAGATGCTGGTCATTTAAATAATGTTTATACATGAATCACTAGACTGACAATAGTTTTAAATCACCAGTGGCTAATTGGCTGATTTCTCAGCTTTGAACATGTACATGAATTTGGACTCTATTCCCCATCCCCAAAGCCATGAAGGATTAATTCACCAGCAAAGCTGGATACTGTTGTAACTCAAAAACGAGGCGTCATCCAAAAAGAAAAAAAGAAGCACTTTATTTAAGCTGGTACCCAGTGGCATAGGTAGGGTACAAGGCT